AAGTGCGCTGGAAGCAAACTGCGGTGCCATACGAGGTGGTTGTCATTCTGTGTTTTTTATGCCCGACGGTCAGCGTCGCCCTCTGCAAAGGGAGTCCCCCTCACTCGATGATCCTCAACCTCAACAGACATGCACTCCAACCATGTACTGTACACCTACATCTTTGCTGTTTGAAACTGCTTGCTGTAAAATTGTCCAACTAAGTCAACTGCCGTGGAAGCAAAGAGACATGAATTACCAATGCAAGTGCTAGTTACAGTCCCACTCTGATCGCACAAGTTTGCCTTCTGCTTCCAGATAATTTGCCCGTCCATTTGCCCGTGGTGAGTTACAATAGGTGTGGGCAGGATAGGCAAATTTGCGGGCCAGGGTTGGCCATCATCTGCACTAACATTTCTCCAATTGCCCAGCTCCAATGTTCTAGTGCGCACGATACAGGGCAATTTAAGGCACGTTTCAGTCTACTGATAAGGGGAATTTAGAGTTACCCTAAAGAGCATTCTTTGTACACTGAGGTGAGGTTTGCAGCCGCCCCTCAGTTGCCATCCACACATTGTACAGTGCCTTTTCCCGCCAAAAGAGATTGCTGACTCGTACAATGAGCGGGAGTGCGTCAGAGCGAATGATCTGGCAGTTGCATCGAGGTGCTGATTGGTTTCCAAGATTCCTGCATGCCAAACAGTGTCGTCAAACGGGGTTGGAGGAGTTGGACTTGGGAGTCGCAGATTGGCTTGCTGTCTAGCCTGTTCATCGCAGGGAGCCAGGCAATGCTCGTTCAATGAAAACTTTGACGACATAAGTTTCATTTCACAGGTCGTTTGCACAGTTTGGTCGTGTGCCAATAAGAACAAGTATCGACTGTCGTGACAGGCATTTTAGCTCGAAGAAAAAGAGCGGGACTTTCTTAGATGCATCAGGGAAGGGTTATTGGGATGGGGTCAGTCGATCGACCGATTTGCCGAAGTTTAGGATACGGGGTCTCTCTTCATCTACTACGCCCATCACTTCACCACCCGAGCATACATTTCTGGCAAGCTTTCCATTTTGAACTCCAAGACTCCGCATTGTAGCTTGTTTGCTTCGAGTCCTAGCAGCCACACATAATCCTATTTTTAGACACTGTCCTCTCTGGCCGTGACGATTCGGGTATGTTTGCGCTTCGTTGTGACTCCTAACCTAGCATACTCTAGGGTTACAAGGGACACCTATCATAACATAACGTCACCTTCATCGCGCCGGAGGTAGAACTCATTTCAGAATTTTACTAAAACCAGTGCAAGCCCGAGGCGCGGCAAGAAAAAAACCAATTTACTACTACTGCTGACCGCGACGGGGCAAGATGATTGTCGTAGAGTCTCCATGCAGCAGACGCGCCGCTCCAAAGGAGATAATTTCCAGCCTAAATCAAGCCGCAGCAAAGACGATGACTCTGTCTGGACACAGGTCAACTGAGACGACTCAAAGGTCAGGGGCGGGCTCAAAGCGAGCGGCATTGCGCGCGCCACTTCCGCGCACCGACGCGCTCTCTGAAACGAATGCGGAGAAGACGCCAGAACAAGTTGTTCAACCTCCAGTTGAAGAAGATCCGAGCCATTACCGGTGGCAGAAACTGTCCCACAAGTGGCTGTGCCAACGGACGGTCAAAAGGTGCGATGCCGTCGTTGATTCACAAGGTCTTCAGAGTGGTCACAGGGTGTTAATACGCTGTTCACGGGGTTCTCAGGGTGTTCAGAGGGTGTTAACGGTGTTCAAAGGGTTCTCAGAGTGTTCACAAGGTGTTCAGTGACTCGCCGCCCTACCTCTCTCCCACTCCACCCACCAGGACCTACTGAATGTCTGTTTGCAGGGTCGAGTCGACTGAAAAACTGAATCCCCTACCTACCGTTCGCCTCCCTTCCACCAGGATCTACTTCACGTGTGTGTGCAAGGCCGTCACGGGATGCACGGCGCGCAAAGTGGAGGACCGCATCCCCGGCCCGCCCCGCGGCAAGCACACCGCGCCGCCCGCCGCCGCCGCCCCCGCTGCTGCTGCTGCTGCTGCTGCTGTCGTCCTGACAAGCGCCACTATTGCTGCTGCTGCCGTCCCAAGAAGCACTATTGCTGCTGCTGCCGTCCTGACAAGCGCTGGTCATCAGGCCTATGATGCTGCTGATGACGCAACTGCGGCTGCTGCTTTGGAGGGTGAAGGTTCCACCCATGGGGAGGTGCAGACGGTTGGAGGCATCCCCGCACGCCCTGAGCGCGTGGAGATGCGCAAGGTGGTGCGGGTGACGACCTCAGGCTTCCACAACCACCCTCCCACAACCTGCCGCAAGCGCCGCCGCTGCAGCGACGCCCCCGCACCCGCCACTGCCCCTGTGCTTTCAGAGGGCCAACCGGAGAGGAAGCTGAGCTACCAGCCTGACAGGGAGTTGGCCTTCCGTGCTGCAGGGAGGATGAACTATCAACCTGAAGGGAGGTTGAGTTGTCAGCTTGGGGAGTTAAGCTACCAGCCTGGGGAGTTGAGCTACCATGCTTCAAAGCGGCAGAGGGCAACGCAGGTGAAAGCTGAGCCGGATGGTCCATTGGAGAGCCCCGGCGCCAGCTGCTGCAAGGATGAGCCGTCACGGTGGCCTGCTGGCGGCGCGGCCCCTGCTCCAATGTTACCAGATGGGCCGCTTTTGTCTGCTGGCGGCAGAGCAACGTGCTTTCCGCGGTTGTCAGCAACGGCCTGCGCCACGCAAGGAGTGGACCGGAGCAGCCTCGGGTTGCAACAATGCTTAACGAACCAGTTTCCGAGCCAGGTTCCGAGCCCAGCAGGACTGGCAGCCGCACCAGAACCAGCAGGCCCGGCAACTTCAGCCGTCCCAGTTGTCCCAGCAGGAAAAACAGCCCCAGTAGCCGCTTCAGCGGCTCATCCGCAGGAGCAGACGCTTCCAGGAAACAGTGAAGCAGCTGACACGAGCAGCAACTGCAACAATGCGTTCCTGATGGGGGTGCTTCTGACACCCCCTGAGAGACAGGTGGTGCTGTCAAGGCTCCTTAGCCTGCATGGCGCATTGGAGAACAGAGCACAGTTGCATGGCATTGACACGACAGGCCTTGCAACAGGGCTTGCCCCAAGCCTTGCCCCAAGCCTTGCTCAAGGCCTTGCTTCAGGCCTTGCCCCAGGCCTCTGCAGCAGCAGCTGCAGCTTTGGTGGGGCTTCAGGCACGGCCGGCCAGGCTCCTGCTTCAAGCATGGATTCAGGCGTTTCTGGTGGTGCTGGTGGTGCCGCTGCTGATGCTGCTGCTGTTCCTACCGATGCAGCTCCTACCGTTGCTGCAGTTCTGGTCGCTGCTGCTCCGCCTGCTGTCATTGCTACCACACCCGTGCTTGATCCACCTGCATCTGTCTACACATCTGTCACAAGAGCAGCAGAGCTGGATTCTTCAACCAGCTTCTTGAATGAGGTGAGTGAAATGTGCTGCACATTCAGCTAAAGTTTTGCTGCCTGCTGAGCCGGATTCTTCGGCAGCATTTATTCAACCGAAGCCCTCAACTCTGTATTTTGGTTTTTTTTTTTTTTTTTTTTTTTTTTTCCTTGCTAATTTCCCATTTCTGCTGCCATCTTACCCCTGCTGTTCCTTCTTTCCTGCCCCTGATTACCATCCTGTTGTTCTGGCAGTTTTTGGAGCAAGCAGACACAACAACAGGTTTCTCAACCCATCTTGCTCCATCCCACCCTGACCCATCTTACCTTAACCCATCCCACCCTGACTCAACTTACCTTAACCCTGACCCATCCTCTTACCTTAACCCATCCTCCTACCTTAATCCATCCCACCCTGACTCAACTTACCTTAATCTTGACCCATCCTCTTACTTGAGTCCTATGGACTTAGCTATCCCAGATTCAAGCATCTGGTCTGATTTGACCGACCCATCTGCCATCCCCTCCCCTGCATCGGCGATCGAGACTCAAGATTCTGATTCTCAGGAATCTCTGGAATTTCATCTGATCGGGCTCGGGACGTCCGATGAGCCGCACTCACTCACCGATATCTCTGTGCTGGGGACAGCTTTCGAGGCTCCTCAGAAGCAATCCCAGGAGCCTTCGGATTTTCATCTGGGTGGGGTTGGGGCAACTGATTGGTCTCACGCGCTGACGTTACTGACTGAGACCCCAGCGCTTGGGGATCCCAATGAGTCTCCTCAGAAGTATTCGCAGGAGCTCCTGGAATTGCACCCGATTGGGGTTGGAGCATCTGATTGGTCTCGCTCGCTGGCTTTGCCGACTGAAACCCCAGGGATTGGGGCAGCTGGGAAGCCCATCCAAGGGCTGGGAGAGGGAGGTTGTAAGGAGGAGATGGCGGCTGAGATATACTGTGGCGTCGGATTTGATGATTGGCCGGCGTTTGGACATCGATTGGATGACTATTGAGACGCCTTTTGAGTAGATTTGAAAGTACTTCAATTATGTCAGAGAATGCTTAGGGTTCAGGGGATGCGTCAAGTTTTGTACTAATTGACCGTACTGATACCATATTCCCCCTGGACTTGAACGAGGAATAGGGACTAAAAAATTGGCAGGTTTTGGTGAGGACCCCCTTGCTGCAACTGATATTTGAAGAACCCCCCTTCTCTGTACAGTGAGTTGAAATGATTTGGCGCATCAGCTTTTAGAGAGGAAACTACTGTTCTGACGCGGTTTTTATGTCAGGCTCGAAATCTGACACATCCACCGTGTCAGACCTTCGATCTGACGCGTGGGTCGCGCGATTTTTGCACAGGTCGAAGGGTTTCATCGTTAGAAATATGACCCCGCTCATGCAATTTGAGTCTACATCGTAAATCACAAGTTGGTTTTTTTTTGTAGTTTCAAATCCCTTGAACAGCTGCCAGTTTTGCAAGGACAGACTAAGAGACCCCCAGGACTGTAACTGGAATTTCAAAAGCATTACAAGAAAAATAACTTGAGTATTTCCAGACGATAATCTGCCTTCCATCTTCCCCACTCCCTATGCACTTGGCTCCCGTTATTAACCCTCCTTGTTACAGTCATCTTCCACACCATCTGTGCAGTGTTGCACATCAGTCAATTCGCTACTAGCTGCAGACCCCCTCCGTGGGGTTACCACACCAGGTGTTACACACCCAGTTGCTGCCTTCATCTCTCCAATCAACCCATAAGCAGCGCTATTTATTTCAGCTACCCGTTTTTCTTTTGCCCGAAGCAGCGTGGTGTAGAAGGACCGGGCAGCTTCCAGCTCCGAAACTTTTGCAGCTGCCCGGTGCCGCTGGGCACGCATTCGGGCAGCGGCTTCGTTGCGGGCAACCTGAGCTCGTTCCAGGGAAGCCAGGGCAGAAGAACAGGCAGAAAATAGAGATACATTCTCCGTAGACTCCCCACTGCCCTCCTCCTCAGCTTTCGCTGCAACTCCCCCCACCTCCTCTCCCTCAGCATTTCCCTCCTCCCCACTCCCTCCTTCTGTCACTCCCTCATCCACACCATCACTCTCTCTATTCCCCTCCCCTCTCCCTTCGCAACCTTTGCTCACCGTACTGCCTCTCTCATCTTCCCCATCAATGGTTACCACAACCCCTGCCTGGTTACCAGCAACCCCTTCCCCCTTTACAAGCTCCTCCAGACTCGTGCCTTTATTCTCAGTGTCAGTACATGCCGTGAGCCGTGCAACTTCCTTGGAAGCTTCCTGCAGTGCAGCCTCGGCGTCTGCCAGATCATCCTGAGCGTCCAAAGCTGCAGCCACGGCAGCCTTAGCTTCGGCATGGCACTGCCGCTGAGCCTGCTTGGCTCGGAATACCTCGTCAAACTGCAGAAGGTCTGAATGGTCCAAACCTAACTTACACTCGCCTTCATTATTCTCACCCTCGATGCTGCCATCCTTCTCACTGTCACGCTCACTATTGTCACGATAGTTAGTGTCACCCTCATTCTTGTCACCCTCACGCTCATTATTGTCACCCTCACGCTCATTATTGTCTCCCTCGTCATTGCTGTCATGAAAGTTAATGTCATCATCTGCTGCTGCTGCTGCTGCTGCACTTTCGGCCGCTGCTGCTTCTTCTGCCGGAGTTGACTGACTATTGCACCCCTCCATATGCACCCCAGACAAACCTCCATCGCCTATAGCAGCATTATCAGCCACAGCGCCAGCAGATGCAGCATCAACATCGGCATCGCCATCAGCAGCAGCAGTAGGGGCATCAGCAGCAGCATCGCCAGCAGCATCATCATCATCATCAGCAGCAGCGGCATCAACAACAGCAACAGCACTAGCAGCAACAGCACCAGCAGCATCGGCATCAGCAGCATCGGCATCAGGATCATCAGCAGCGGCCGTATCAGCATCAACAGCAGAAGCACCAGCATCAGCAACATCAGCATTAGCAGCAGCAGCAGCAGAAGCATCCGTAGCAGCATCAGCAGCAGCAGCAGCAGCAGCAGCAGCAGCAGCAGCAGCAGCAGCAGCAGCAGCAGCAGCAGCAGTAGCAGCAGCAGCAGAAGCATCAGTAGCAGGATCAGCAGCAGCAGCAGAAGTACCAGCATCAGCAACATCAGCATTAGCAGAAGCAGCAGCAGCAGCAGTAGCGGCATCAGGATCAACAGCAGAAGCACCAGCAACGGCAACATCAGCATTAGCAGCAGAAGAATCAGTAGCAGCATCAGCAGCAGCAGCAGCAGCAGCAGTAGCAGCAGCAGCAGCAGAAGCATCAGTAGCAGCATCATCACCAGCGTCGGCATCAGTATCATCAGCAGCAGCGGCATCAACATCAGCACCAACACCAGGACTAGCAGCATCAGCATTAGTAGCAATAGCATCAGTAGCAGCATCGGCATTAGCAGCAGCAGCATCAGCAGCAGCATCATCAGCAGCAGCAGCAGCAGCATCAGCAGCAGCATCAGCAGCATCACCAGCAGCATCAGCAGCAGCATCAGCAGCAGCATCAGCAGCATCACCAGCAGCATCAGCAGCAGCATCAGCAGCATCACCAGCAGCATCAGCAGCAGCATCACCAGCAGCATCAGCAGCAGCATCACCAGCAGCATCACCAGCAGCATCAGCAGCAGCATCAGCAGCAGCATCAGCAGCAGCATCAGCAGCAGCATCAGCAGCAGCATCACCAGCAGCATCAGCAGCAGCATCAGCAGCAGCATCAGCAGAATCATTATCAGGATGTGCTGCAGCCGCAGCACCAGCACTCTGTGACTCATTCCCTTCCCCTCTGCCTCCTCCTCCTACTCCCTCTGCTGAAATTACTTCGCACTTCTTGTCGCCACTGTCACTCCTGACACACCCACTCCCCTCACCCTCACTCCCTTCTCCTTCCCCTTCTCTCCTCCCTGAAACCTTCTCCCCCACATCCACTGTCCGCACTGCCCCCACCACCACCCCCGCTGCCCCCCCTGCCCCCACTGCCCCCGCTGTCCCCTCTGCCCCCGCTGCCCCAACTGACGCCCCCACCACAGCACCATCAATGAGGGTCCTTCCACGACCCCTCCTATCCAGATACCCTGAAAACAACTTCCCACCAGCCCCACCAGCCCCAAACCCACCAGCCCCACCGGCTCCCGAGGCAGATGCAGGTTCGCGCATGTTCAGCATCGAATCAATGTTGTAGAACCGCTTTCCGAGCCTGAACGGCAGGTCCGGCACAGCATCGGTCGCCTCCGAAGCTATGGTGCCAGCATCACTATCAGTGCTGCAGGGACTAGGCTCTCTCCTCCCACTCTCCTCCCTCTGCACCTCCTCTCTTCCCACTCTTCCCTCCCTTCCCTCTCCTGCCTCCTTTCCGAAAAGAGGAACCTCATCTGCCCCTTGTTGTTCCCTGCCCTCCTCCGTTTCCCCTCCTTCCTCCTTCCGAGCCTCCCTAGCCTCCCTAGCCTCCTTTTGACGCAACCCGAATGCGCCCTCTTCTTCCCCAACGGTCGTCTCTTCCCTCTCACATGCCCGCTCCTCCTCTTTTTCAGATGCCCTCTCCTCTTTCCCAAACCCTAAGTCCACATCTCGCATGTTCTTCAGCAGCTCTTGATACCACTCCTCATCCTCATCCTCCTCCTCCTCGCCCCCCCCACCCATCCCTCCCTCCACCTCCCCACCCAAACCAACCACTCTCTCACTCTCCTCCCTCTTCCCCTTCCCCTCTCTCTGCCCACTCCTATCCCCAACCCCCCGTTTCCTCCCCTCAAACTCTCCCCTCACCTCCTCCTCTCCCTCCACCCCAACTCCAAGGGACGAAGCCCAACCCCCACTGGACAGACTCCAAGCATCACTCTCAATCTCTGTCTCTATTTCAGTCTCAATTCCTGTCTCTGTCTCTGCATCTGTCTCTGCAGGTATATCTGCATCCCCAGCACCCATCTCCACCCCCCTTTCCAATCCCCCACCCCCTTCCCTGCTACCCTCCCCATCTTTCCTTCTCTCCCTCCTCCCCTTCTTCTCCCGCCCCCCTCGTCCCTCTCCAACCTCCAGTTCTTCCAAAAAAAGATTTATTGCTTCGTTCAAGCTGCCCGAACCCTGCGATCCCAGGAGGGAACCAAGGCTAAGTTTCAAGCTGCCCGTGTCACTCCCACCTCCTGCGCCCAAGCCTGCTCCCGAGCCTCTTCCTACCGAACCTCCAGCTCCCGAACCACCACGAACCAGCTTCTCTGCTGCCTTTGGTTCTCCTCCTCCTTCTTCCTTTCCCACTGCTGACACCCCTCCCTCTCTCGCTCCCTCCTCCCCACCCCCCTTCCTGCTGCCTATGCTCTCTTTTCCTTGACTCCCACCGGATTGAACTCTTCTCAACCGGGACCCACCACCTGAACCTTCAATTGATGATACTCCTGCTGCTGCTGCTGCTGCTGCTGCTGCTGACGTTGCTGAAACTGCTGATGCTGCTGATGTAAAAGATGCCGAACCAATATCCACCCTACCCCCTCCTCCCGTCACCAACTCCATACGCCTCCTCTCCCTCCCCTTCTCCTTCTCCCTTCCTTTCCTCCCCTCCCTCCCACCCCTCTCGGTCCCACTGCCTGTACTTTCAAGGCTGCTCCGAGCCTGCCCCCGAGCCAGGTCAAATCCGGAGCTGATCTGAGGCTGATCTTGGCTCGGCCCAAGGCTGGGGCTACACCAAACCTGCTCCACGGTTGGATCCGTGCCGAAGCTGCTCCGATCCTCTTCAGAAGACGAGAGAAAGAGAGGGATGGGGAGGATGACGTCAGCATGGGGCGACGGACGAATGGCGGAGTGACAGCTGGAGCTCGGAGGGAGATAGGGAGATGAGGAGGAGAGGAGGGGGGATGGGGCGGCGACAGAAGCTTCATCTGCTGATGCAGAGCGTTTTCCGGGTGTGTTTTGAGTGGAGTCGACAGCAGCACCCACAGAGGCAGAGCCATCAGAAGCAGCAGCAGGTGCAGCAGCAGCAGGTGCAGTGGTGGTGGCAGAGACAGTAGTCTCAACAGCAGAAGCAGCAGTCCCCTCAGGAGGTGTTGGCTCACTTGCTCGCAGCACCTTACCATCGCTGTCTCCTGTCTCCCGTACCCCTCCTGCCCACGCTGCTGACTCTCCCACAGCAGCAGCAGCAGGTGTCTGCGGCTTGACTGCAAACACGGAGAGAACAGGGATGGGTGCACTCATATCCACATCCCCATATGCTCTCACCCCACTGGTAGCAGAGACCCTCACCACACCAGCACCTCCTCTCATATTCAAATCAGACACAAAGCCTCCAGTTGCGTCAATAATCTGTGCGGAAAGAGCAGCTTCTGTGACCTCCCCAACCCAGCCGGAACCCACACCCCCCACGCATTTGGTCAGCACTCTATGGCTGTGGTATGCCAGCTCTGCGGCTATATTCACACTCTCTATAAGCAACTCCACGTTCACTCTCCTGGTTCCCCCAAACTTGCTCCCCGCGAACCTGCTGCCGATCCTTCTGCCACCGAACCTTCCAGTTTCCCCTTTTCCAATTCCTCTACCTTCCACATTCTCGCTGCGCCTACCCTCTCCCTCCTCCTCCACCTCTTTCTCTTCCTCCTCATCCCCTTCCTCCTCATCCTCATCGCCCCCACCCCACATCCACTCTGCCTCTACCTTCTTGGCATGAGCCAAAGGCTTCATTGCTGCATGTCTCTCAAAGAGCAGATGCCTGGCTTTGGGAGGGCCCCTACTGCCAATCACCCCCCCCTTGCTGCTGCCATCCATTCCCAGTGCTTCCCAAGAAGCTTCCAATTCTAGCCGCCCGGTGTGCCGGGCAGCCTCAGAAGCCAATCGGAACGCTCCTCCAGCTGCCTGAGCGAGATCCTCCTCTGCTGTAACTGCCCCAAATTTTCCGCTCCATTTCCCGCTCCATCCCCCCCTTCCGTCTCCCCCTCTCCCCCTCCCCTTATCCCCCATAGAAGCAGCCTCGGTCACTTGTAACTCAGCTATATGGCCCTGTAGCTTACGGGCGAATAGCGTCGCGCCATCTGTCATCGCGAGGAAGAACCTAGGAGCTCCACAGCCCTGGTTGGCAGCTTGCTGCAGCACAGCTAAGTGGCTCTTGAGTAAGTGTGAGAGGCGAGTGGCTCCCTGCACTAACGAGGTGAGCCGCTCCTGTGTGCCTGATGGGAGCAGCAACAATCAAGGGAGGAGTGTTAGAGAAGCGGACAGTTGTTAATTGAATGTTCCGGTAAAAAAAGTGTACACACTCACATACACACACTCACTCACCCCCTCCCACCGGCATGCCACAACCAGAGCGATTGCACGCACTACAGTGTGAGCCACCGCTGCCTAAGTGCTGCTCCTGTAACATGCTCACTCATTCACCCAATCCCACACCCACACAGTCAGCCGCTCACACTCTCACACATCTCAATCACCCTCGGATTGCAGGCCAAGTGCCAAGAGAAAGAGCAAGCTGCGGAGCATGCACGACAGCGTGAGCCACCACTGCTGCTGCTCGCGCCGTCGTCACTGCCGGGAGAAGCTGTGAGACTCAACATGCTTGCATTGCATGCCTTCACTCGCATTCATACGCACAAATGCATACCCACACCACACGCTTTCCCTCTCACCAGCGGATTGCAGGGCAAGGAAAAGAGCTGCCACTGTTACATGCTCATCACTCACCCACTCATGCACTCGCTTCGCACTCACCAGCGGATTGCACGCCAAGGGAAAGAGTGATCTCCAGAGAAAGCGCATGCACCATAGTGTGAGCCACCACGGCTGCTGCTCCCGCCATCGCCACTGCAGGAAGAAGCTGGGCTGACGACCCTGCACTGCCAGCTGTAGCAGCAGATATAGCCGACGCATCAGCTGCCCTCACAGCATCAGATGAAACCGCACCAGCAGGAGCAGCACCAGTAGTAGCAGCGACAGCTGTAGCAGCAGAGCCTATAGCAGCAGGAATGGCTGTAGCAGCAGCATCCGAGACCAGCGACTGTAGCACGGAGAGCAGTGCAGAGGCTTGCCCGGCCAAGCTAGAGGCTGTAGCAAGAGCTGTAGCACCAGCTGTAGCAGAAGCATTCTCAGGGTTACTACCAGCCACATCTGCAAGATCTGTGGCATTTCCTGTCAACGCGGCAGCAGCATTGGAACAAATGGAAGCACAGAGATCGCCAAAGAGAACAGGCCGAGAAATTCCCCCATCCAGAAACGGCTCCTTGACTTGTTCTCCCTCTTTTCCTCCTTCCGTCTGCTCCCCTCCTCCTCTCTCCCCTCCATGACTATCCACTAGCTCGCCCCTTTCCTCCCGTTTTCTACCTTGTCCCGAACTATTGTGGTCGGATAATGGGGATGGTAGTGGGAAGGGCATGTTGTGATGGAGCAAGGACAGGAGGGTGACCTCTGCTGCTGCTGATGCTGCTGCAGAGGCAAGAGGGGGGACAGGGGTGTGGGAACCAGCATCGCCAGTAGCAGCAGCAGAACCGTCACTATCCCAAGCGTACACCCATCCACAGCAAAGGTCCTCCTCCCCTTCCAATCCCAACCCGTCACCACCCTTGCCGCTTCCTTCACTCCCTCTGCCGTCCCTTCCGCCCCTACTCTTCCCCCGGCTCCCCCAATTCCCCTTCTTTCCCCCACCAGTCTCCCCCCACACCTCCGCCACAGCACCCCCCAGCCTCAAGAGGCAGCGCAGCAGCAGCGCAGACACCACAGGAACAGCTGCTGCTGCTGCTATAGGCAGATGGGGTTTAAAGGGTCTCAGCAAGGGGATAGGCGCGGCTGCTGCATCAGTGGCAGAGTGGGCATGTGCAAGCCCCCTGTCATGGGAATGGGAAAGCACATAGAGCTGACTCAGCCGAGTGCGGATATCGGCCATGAGAGAGAGGGCCTCAGAGCACAGGCTAAGCCACGGCACACAGAGAGTGCGCGCTGCTGTCACGGCACTGCCACTGCTGCCACTGCCCTGTTTGCTCCGCACAGAGAGCCCTTGCTGTGGGGGGGACAGTGGGTTGTGATGCTGCGGTTCAGAAGCCCTCTCGTGCGCGTGTGCCTGTGCAGGGACTAGCAGGCCCATAGCAGCTTCTAGCTGCTGCAGGCGAGAGGTCAGCGAGGCGGGCAGTAGAGGCAGGGTGGGTACGACTGGAGCAGGGCAGTCTGAAAAGGAAGAAATGGGGGATGCAGCATTGGTGGAGGGCCGGTGCATGCCACAAAAGAAGAAGAGAACTTTCAGCAGCCTGAGAGACAAAGCAGCGATACAACCCACGCTGTTCACTGTTGCTGCTGGTCCTGCTTCTGCTTCTGCTCCCGTAACACTTGTAACATCGGTAACACGTGTAACACTTGTAACGCCTGACTTCCCTTTACCTGTTCCTTGTATGAGCCAATGGGAGTGAGTCACCAGCTCTTGCCCTGCGTCCAGCAGCCAATACGCAAGTGCCACGTCAGCACCGGCAGGATCAGTGCAGGCAGCATGGCGGAGGCATGCGTCTGCCAGCCTGGCTAGCTGCGTGTCCAGGTCAGCTGCCACATCAGCAAGGGCAAGGGCGAGTGAGTGGACAGTGGCATGTTGCTGACTCAGCACAGCAGCAGGCAGGGCTGCAGAAGCTGGTGATGCATCAGGAGCAGGTCTGGGATCATCAGGGGAGGAAAGCAGAAGCGCTTGCAGGAGAGAAGCAAGGAGGGAAGAGGAGGCCACAAGCCTAGCTGCAGTAGCTGCTGCTGACACTACCAAGTGACTGGTAGTGGGGGAGGAAGAGAGAGGCCTGTTGGACGATGGTGACGATAAGGAAAGCCCAGGGATCGCTGCTGCAGCAGGTGGAGGTGAAAATGGGATGGAGAGGCGGTGGAGGAGAGATGAGGCACGGTGACGCAGAAGCAGAGCAGAGCGACGGATAGAAGACCTTTCCTCTCTGCACATCTGCTCCCCTGCCCGTGACTCTGGTACAGAGTCACATGCACCTCCCCCAGATACAGCCTCCCCCGAGCCATAAACCCTGCTATCAGCCTTAGCAGTGCATATCTCCGTTGGTCTGTCTTGCGTTGCTTGGAGCAGCAGCGAGCGATGGGACTGAGCCTCCTCAACCAGTGCTGCCAGCAACAAGACGTCATCCTCACATGCTGCTTCAGCCCCATGATTTGAACAGTCCATACCGCCATAATTTACAATATCCAAACCACCCCTGCCATAATATTCGCAGCTGCTTTCTGTTGGATACCCGCCCTGCCATCCCTTCTGCTGCCTGCTGCTGCTGCTCCTCCTCCTGCTGCTGCTTCGTTGCTTCTTTGCCTGCAACAGCATCCGAAGCTGCTTGGAAGCTTCCACCATCAACTCTTCCGCCTGCAGCAGCAGGTCTTGCCAGGCGTCACCAGGCGACCCAGCTGCTGCTGACTCAGCGAATCTGACACATGACTCAGCGTGCGCACCCGCCAGCTCAGCCAAAGCAGCGCGCTGACTCAGCACACCAGTGGCAGACTGCCACGCTGCACTGTCCACCTCACCCTTGTGCCTATCCTCAGTATGATAAACCCCACTCCTCTCCGAAAGAGCATGGACACTGGTGGTAACCCCAACCTCATCAGTCGTTTCTTGGGACTGCTGCAATTCAGCCTGAATCAGCAGGTCACGTGCCAATTCCCTAGCCGCTGCCGACTGCACTAGTAGCCCCTTCACCGCCCCATCCACCTCTCCCTCCTCCTCCCAACCACCTGCCCTTCCACCCTCTGTCTGGTACTGCTGCTGCTTCTCCAGCTCCGCTGCCAGTGCAGCCATTCCTCCTGACCACCGCACCAGCCACGCAAAGCCAGCGGCAAAGCGCGCAGCAAAACCACCATCAGCGGTAATCTCAGCAGCAGCAGGCAAGCTAGCAGTGAACATTGGGTCCGCCCCTCCGTGGCCTTGCACCAAAGCTCCGTCCCTTACAGCCTGCGTGTTGTATCCCGACCCCTCACACTCCCTCCCTTCCTCAACTTCACCTTCCGCCGCCAAGTCAGGTACTCTGACCGTCCTATGCAACAGCAGCGCCTGGCCCAACTGGGCTGTTCGGAGAAGAATTCTGTTGAGCAAGAGCCCCCGTCTTGCCCTTCCCTGACCATCCCCTCCTGCTCTGAGCAGGTCCGCATGGCCATCAGGAGGCAAGCACCAAGGCAGCATCAGCATCTCAATGTCACGAGCCAAGTGCAGCGCCAGACCCGCAGCAGCAGCAGCAGCCCGTTGCTCACGTCTCACATGTCTCTTGTCAACGTGACCAGCTTCCAGTTCACCCAAGAGACCACCTTCCCTGCTTCTCCCTTTCACTTCCCTGCCTCCCTCCCTGCCTTCGCCTGAAATCAAGACCCTCTCTGGAACCGACTGTTCCTGTTGTCCCTGCTTCTCCTGCATCTCCTGCCCCAGTTGCTGCTGCAGCTGCAGCCCCCCTTGCCTTCTTTCGAGGGCCCTCATCAGTCTTAAGTGCCTCTCTGCTGCATGCAATAGCGCATCTGCTGCTGCTCGCACCCCATCCTCACGCTCCTCTCGCTCTCCTCGCTCCTCTCGCTCCTCCTCACCCGCCTTCCTTCTCCCCTCTCCCTTTCTCCCCTCCGCTCCTTCACCCCACTCTTCCCCAATCACCCTGCCTGCAAGCACAGCAGCAGCACCAATCACAGCAGCACAGCTCCTCCCCGCCTTTCTCAGAAGCTTCCCTCCCCACCGCACACCACCCATCTCTATACCCAAACCGTTGCCACCATCCCTGCAACCACCCTCCCCCGCTACAAGACAAAAATGCCGGACAGAAGCCGCCACAAGGCTCAGCGTAATCTGGGCGGCGGCACCCTGCCTGGAGACAAAATCTCGGACTCCCTTTTGAGAGTTCTCAAAACTTTTGTTATAATCACGTCCTCCTATAATCAACCTACCCACCCCATCTCTCACTTCATCCAGCAGACTCTCTGCCCCTCTTACAAGCACACTCGTTTCTGTCACAAGACCCTCAGAAACCACATGCCCTGCCGCCTCCTCCTCCCCTTTCCCTGATCCATCCTTCTCTTTGCTCCCCCCATTCTCTCCTGCCACACTCACACCCCCAAGCGAACCTTCCCTCCTTCCCCTCATCCCTTTCCCTTCAATCCTTCCCTCCATCCGCCTCTTGCCCGATTCACCCGCCACCCCTCCTCCATCTCCTCCCAACCCACTCCGCCTGCCTCCTCTCCTTGCCCTACCCTCTGCTCGCTCACCCTTCATCTCTAAATCCTCTCGCCCCTCCCATCTGACAACCTCGCCCACCTCATCTTTCCGCTCCTCAGAACCTGCCGCAGCCTCTATCTCTCTCACCACGCCTGCCACTGCCACCAGCCCTGAGAATCCAAGGGAAACGAGCTTCTGCTTTTGACGCATTTGACCACAAGCTTGCCTCTCCCCCTGTTCTCTCAAAGAGGAACACTCTTTCTGTTGAGCCATCTCAAACCACCCCTGCAGTGCATCGATTGTATCAAGCATCTTCACACACACATCCTCACACTCCCTCACACTCACACTCCCCTCTAACCAGTCAGACCTATTCATCCCCGATCCTTCTTGCGTTCCCTCTTCCGCGCCCCCTTTTTCTCGCATGTTTTCCTCTCCCGATCTCCCTTTCTCCCCCTGACTTTTGCATAACCCCGCAGCTGCGTGCAAAAGCTTCCTGTAAGCGTCCACCAGGGCGCAGAGGAAAGAAAGCCTGCACTGGAGGGTAGAGATAGCAACCGATGCACTTTCGGCTGTCTCTTTATTGATACTGTAAATGTCCAAACTATCCACAGCTGCAGCAGCCTCTACAGCAGCAGCAGCATGGCGCTGCAGCAGCAGCCATCCCGAGAGCAGCAGGTGAGACACCCAATGCATAGGTTCAGGAAACAGTGCCTCCTGCTTCTGCTGTTTCTGCTCCTGCTGCTGCTGCTCCTGCTGCTGCTGCTGCTGCTGCTGCTGCTGCTGCTGCTGCTCCTGCTTTTCCTCCTGCTGCTGCTTCCGCCTCGGTCGTGGTTTCAGCAGCCCTGCAACTGTCTCTGCTGCTGCTGCCACAAGGGCAATTCCGTCCCGAGCAACACCCACATCTGTTGCTGCCCCACCTGCCACGCCCTTACCTGCTGCCGCTGCTCCTCCTGCTCCTGCTGCTGCCATACCCTTACCTGCAGCTGCGGCCGCTGCTCCTGCTGCACATATCCTCACCCCATGTGCTGCAGCTTGGTCTCTAAATGCTGCTGCTGCCGCCACCGCTTCTGCATCACGCGCTGCTGCTTCAGCTGCTGAGGGCCCTGAGAGCTGCTCGCTCCGAATCTCGTTTTCTTTCTCTCCAGGAGAGGCAAGACCAGTTGCAGCAACAGAAGGAGCAGCAGCAGAAGCATCAGTTTCAGCAGGCACAGGCGGAGCACGAGATGCAACACAACTTGAAAGCAGCTCAGCACTCTCAATCAGAGCAAACAACGATGCCAGCCCCTGCTGCTGCTGCTGCTGTTGGCCCCTCCGCTCCACTGGTCCTCCTGCGCCCATCTCCCTGTCTCTTCCCCCGCTCCCTGCCTGCCGGTCTGCAAGAGAGCAGCAGCGTGCCGCCAGCAATGCTGCATGCTCTGAGGCAGCTTCTAGCAGCTTCCCACTTCGATCCCACAGCTCTGCCTGTCTCTGTCTCTCCTCCTCGTTTTCGTCCCCTCCTTCCTTCTCCTCTTCTTCATCTTCGCCTTCTTCCCATCCTCCTTCATCCTCCTTCTCCTCATCCTTCTCCTCCTCTTTTCCCCCTTCCTCGTCCTTTTCGTTTCCAGCACCCACTCCCTCCTCCACCTTCCCCTCTTCCCTCACACTCCCCGCTCCCTCCACATCTCTCCTCCTCCTCGCCTCTATCACTCTCAAAACGCCCAACACCAGAAACAGCAGGTCTTCCAACCGCCCTGCGCTTTCTGCCAGTCCTTCTGCAGTCACACCGCCTACAGTCACATCGCCAACACTCACACCTTCTACAGCCACACCCGCTTCCCCTATTCGGCTTCCCATTGTGTGCTGACTCAGCAGTAAGAAATGCTGCTTTGCCAAAATCACAAAATTCTCCACCGGCAGAGTTACATCTGTCTCTGTTTGGGTTACATCCGCCTCTGTTTGTGTTACATCTGTCTCTGTTTGGGTTACATCTGCCCCCGGCGGCGTTACAACTGTCGTCGACAGTCTCACCACACCACATCCCGCAGTCTCACACTCAAGCCTTTCTAAGAGACTCGTAAGAACCTTGGCCTTCGTTACAATCACCTCCCCCTGCTTGCACACCTCCTGCCAGCTCGGCACCTCATCGTCTGCATCCACATCAGCAGCCACATCAGCGGCCATGTCCCCTTCCTCTCCCTCCGCTCCCTCCACTCTCCCAAACCCAACCTCACCTACAGTCACATCCGTTACAGTCACCTCACTCCGTGTGGTAACCCTATCCACCAGAGCCCCCTCTATGGCCATCCCCACATCCTCCCGGTGGTCAATCACGTCCCTCCACAATGCCGAGGCTGCTACAATCACCTCCCTTATATGCACCTTCTCGCTGCCCACCCCCTTTATAGTCACATCGCCACCAAACAAATCCTCAGCAGCACTCACATCCTCTGCAGTCCCATCTGCCTGTCCTCTGCTTTCCTTCACCCCTTCAGCTGCCGTTACAGTCACATTCTCTCCAATCACATTCTCCCCGTTCACATCCTTTTTAGTCACATCCTCCCCACTCATCTTTTGCACATCTGCTGCATCATCTAGCACCTCCTGTGTCCCCTCTTCTCCCTCCATACAGTCACTCTCTGCAGAATCAACCACAAGAACATCTGCTGCATTCATTTGCACCTTCCCAATCTGTGCCGCCTCTTCCCCCTCCATACAGTCACTCATAGGCCAGAGCGACCCACCCACTGCAGCAACCATACCCCACGGATCCATCCCACCTGCCCCAGACTCACCTTCCCCAGACGCACCTTCCCCCTCCTCCTCGCCACCCCCAAACAAATCAAATCCGATAAAATCCGATACAGTCGTGACGATTGCTAGATCTACCTGCAGTTTACTGTAGCCCCCCCGGGAGCGTGGGCGAGGGGGAGTGGCGAGGCGAGGAGGGGTGAAAAGATGGGGAAGGGTGGGGAAGTGGGGAGGACGGGTGACGTCAGCCGTTGGATCGGCCAGAGATGCAGATGGAGGGTCAGGATTGCTGCGCGATCTGGCCATCTGAATGGTGGCTTTGTTGTGCTGAGCGCCTGTGCTGCTTATGCACTTAAACGAGTGTGACTGTATGCGATTGGGCAGCACGATGCGAGGGGATCCAAGCCGAGAGAGGAGAAGGAAATCCTCGTCTGCTTCTTGCTGCTGAGAACCAGCTGTGGGTGCAGCAGGGGCAACAGAGGCAGCAGAGGCAGCAGGTGCGTTTTGAGGTGCTTCAAAGGACAGGAGAAGGGCGTCCTCGTCTAGCTCTTGCTGCTCAGAACCAGCATTGGCAGCAGGTGAAACAGGGGCAGCAGGGGGAGCAGGTGAAACAGGGGCAGCAGGGGGAGCAGGTGAAACAGGGGCAGCAGGGGGAGCAGGTGAAACAGGGGCAGCAGGGGGAGCAGGTGAAACAGGGGCAGCAGGGGGAGCAGGTGAAACAGGGGCAGCAGGGGAAGCAGGCTTGGGGGAGGTAGGTTTGGGAGAGGAAGGCTTGGGGGAGGTAGGCTTGGGAGAGGAAGGCTTGGGGAAGGTAGGCTTGGGGGAGGTAGGCTTGGGGGAGGTAGGCTTGGGGGAGGTTGAGACTGGGGCTGTGGGCAGGACTACAGACACGCCCCCTTTGGCTGGTGAGGCCTGGGGCGAAGAGGCTGGAGGGCGGCGGAAGGAGGGGGATCTGGGGGAAGCTGGGGGGAGAGAGGGAGAGAGACCTGAAGGCGATGGGCGGGGGAGAGAGGGGGACCTGGGGGATGCTGGTTGTAGGGTGGCGGAGAGACCAGAGGGGGATAAGGGGGGAAGGGAGGGGGACCTGGGGGAGGCAGGGGGGAGGGAGAGAGTGGGGGGCACTCGAGACGAGGGTGCCTTAGGTGGTTGGGAATCTAACGAGAAGGGCGTTAGTAGAAATGTTTTCGGAGATGGTGGTTCGAGAGGAGGAGGTTTTGGTGAAGGCGCTCTTAACGAGGATGGCTTTGAAGAGGATAATGACTTGCGGTGTTGGTGCAGTGCAGACCTTGCTCCGGAACAACCACCAGCAGCAGAAGCAGCCGCAGAATTCCCCCCCCACCCTGCACTGAACCTTGTGGCAGGCTGGCCACTGTAACCCCTGGGAGATCCCGGCTGGTTGGCTCGCCTGACGAAGCACAAGAAGCTTCCAGGAAGAATCACATCGCCATCATCACCACCCCCACCACCACCATTCTCTTCTGTCTTACAAGCACTCTCGCTTCCGCCCCTCTGCCCTCGGTCTCTCTGCCCCCTCTCCCTCTCATCTCCTCCTTCTGCCATCTCCTCACCCCTCAGTGCTCGCTTCCTCTGCACCACAGACCCACCTCTCGGCATCAAAGCATCGTCTCTCTGCAGACTCCTCAGTGGTCCACCACTTTTGGTGCTAGCCCCCTCAAGGGGTCTAGCCGCCCATTCCTGGTTCCACGCCTCCTCATTCCTCCCCTCCTCACCCGCTTTGCTGCCTCCCTCCTCCACTCCCTTACCCCTTCCCTCATCCTCCCCCATGCTCCCATGCTCCATCACACCCAGCAGGCTCCCCTTCCTCCTCTGCCTGCCCTTCGCCCCAGCACTAGCAGGTGCAGCGCCGCTGCTGACAACATCCGCGTTAGTAGCATCCCCTGTAGAAGCATCCCCGTTTGAAACAGCATCCGTTTTAGAGACATCCCCTTTAGTGACGTCCCCTGAGCTCCTCACTCGTCGTAGCTTCATTGCAAACAGGTACGTACCGCCACCACCCTCCCCCCCACCAGACAAGTTCACAGGCGCCTCAGAATTCACGTACGTCCCTCCACTCTCACTTCTACCCTCCCCTCCGCTCTCACTTCTACCCTCCCCTCCGCCTGCATCAGCAGCATCACGCACGCACCCCTCATTAGCTGCTTCCGCGCCAGAGTCAATCACAACCGTTGATGCCCTGCTTACAGCTTCATCTCTTGCACTCTCGCCCCCTTCTCTCCCCCCATTGCCCACACCAGCTGGTACCTCACGTGCTACCAGCCTCCCTGTTACCTGCGTCTCCGGGTCTCTTCTCTTCTTTTCACTCCTTGAGAACTCGGCCTCCACGTCCCTTCGCCAGCTCTTGGCTCGGCGCTCCGGGTCTACCTCCCAGGTTCGGACGACAGGTCCGTCCCTTCCTGAACTTGTTTTCCCATCTTCTCCTTCGAAACCCCCCCCTGCTTCAGCCACGCCAGGGCTGCCCCGAACCACACCACCTAAGCTCCCTTCCTGGTCCGGAAACTCCGAACCTAAGCTTGCTGATTCCCTTGTGTCCTGTCGGGCAGCTCTGGACTTTTCAGCCTCCCCTGAACCAGCCTCGGGATTGTCAGCCGTCCCCGAGCCGCCCTTGGGATTGTCTAGATGCATTGAATCCGCTGAGCAGGCTGTAGCTGGGTCGCCGTGGACAGGGGGGGGCGGACCGTTTGTGCTCGAGCTCTCCGGGTGAAGACCTGACGTGGCATCTGACGTGGCGTCCGCTTGTCTTGCCAGCTCGCAAGCCGGCCTATCCAGTAATTCTGTCTCTGCAGGTGAAGCAGATGAGTATAGCAATGTTGTTGCTGTTGTTGCTGTTGCTGCTGTTGCTGTTGCTATAGATGGTGCTGAGACTGAGCACTCATCTACTAAGCACTTCATATCTCCGCCCTTCTCTCTCCGTCCCATCTCATCCTCCACTTCACCTACCATCCGCCCTTCTCTTGCTCCCCCTTCTTCTTCGCGCTGGGACGTCCCTGTTGTTGCTCCCTTCACTTCCTCTCCTCTCAACGCCCCAATATCTGCTGCCCCTACTCCTGCAGCCCCTGACGTTCCTTCTGCCCCAGCTTCCCCCGTTGATGCAGCTTCTTCCGCTGCCCCAGCCTCTCCCCCTGCCCCAGCCTCTCCCCCTGCCCCAACCTCCCCCGCTGCTCCAGCTTCTCCCGCTGACCCCTTATGTCTGTGCGTCTTGCTCTTGGACTTTCGCTTGTGCGAACTCTCCACCTCGTCAATGAACACGTCTAGCAGGTCCTGGCGAAATAGGGTTACCACACAAAATGTCGCGAAATTCAGTGACGGTTGCACGGCGGATCAAACAGAAAGGTCGGAATAGGAACAAACGCAGTGATATACAGTGCCAGACGTGACGAAACGCGATAAAAGGTATGTCACTTATCAACGAAACTCGCAAATCGAGTTTTGAAACGTCTCAGAAATAAACGAGACTCGCAAATTCCTAATAAAATCCCCCCACGAACCTTAACTGGTTGCGATCCTGCCATCTGTCCCATCGCTCCTCCCAAGCCTCTGGACGGAGCTGGCCCCGACCGCCGAGCCTGGAGGATCGGTGACTGCGCGGTGGCTCGGGAGGACTGCGACGTGGTTCGGGAGATGGTGCTGCTGTCGTAGTCGGAATTATCGAGGTCCGGGCCTTCCATCCCCCTGCTGCCGACGCACCCCATTGGTGGCATCTTGGCGACGGGACGCCACGTGGCACGGGATTGGATAATCCTCGGGTTACAGGCAGAGGGTGCCACGTGGCACGGAAAGGATCAGGCTAAGTTACCGACTTACACGGGCTGTTGGGCAGATAGGCGACTACTTGTCGCAGCAGGGAAGGTGTTAAGGCCGTACAGGAAGCTTACACCCGCCGTTAATAAATTAGCACTGCTATAATGGAGGTGAGTACCATGGTGAGTATACGAATGCGCGACTCCGGCTTTGACAGGCGGGAGCTCCTTATTAGGTCGTGCGAACGTCGTACACTATCAGAAGTCGCAGAGAGGCCTACCGTCAATTACTAATCTGGAACCGTCACTGCGGCCACAGCGAATCGCGGCATGACTCGCTGCTACTAGAGAGCCTGTCTGGTTAGTGTTTCCTAATCGACGCCGTTACTACCATCACAACTGAATACTGAAATTCTGCTGCAATTAGTTACAGCAGCCATTTGCTGCTCCCAGCAAGCGCAACAATTGCCTCTCCTCCAATGGGAGAACCTGGAGAATCTCAAATTTCGCACATCCCATCCATGCGCTGAGAGACGGGGATTTATGTTTTGGGTTTCCCGCCACCCGGTTTCAAGTTCAGTAGTTTTGGGAAAAAAACATGCTGACCTCGGGCTTTACGGGGGTTGCGACAAGTTTTGGACGGCGACAGAGTTTCACACCAAGTATTTCAGTCCCGGGAAAACAGAGCCCACGGAAGGGATTTCCTAAGAGAGCGCCCATTGGCGCTTTCACCCGCATAGAATTACTTCCTGGGTACTTTTACAGCTCCAATAAAAACCAGAAATGAGGGAAACCACCGCTGGCTGGGCGAGCACACATAACCTCACATCCAGCATGAACAGCAGTGTTTGTTAATCGATTTAAAACAACTGACAGCCTAAACAAGTCGGTGTAGTTTAGTGGTTAGAATCCCACGTTGTGGCCGTGGAGACCGGGGCTCGAATCCCCGCACCGACACCTTTTGTGCTCTTGCTAAGGGTGCATCTGTAGTGTAAGATAAGGAGTAGGATGGGTCTTTTGAACCTTGATTTGCTTGTGTTTTGAACTACTTTGTGTCTTCCAAGCCTACAGTTAGTGTCTGACCTAAGGTCTGACAAGATATACGCATGTTTGGCGCTTACCCTTTATGGTACCGGTTCGCACCACCGGAGCGTTATAGCTGCTCTTTATCACTACGGCCATCTTACAAACGTCGTCCTCGTAGGGTAGATTGTCACATTATGACCGTACGTACAGCGTTTCACAGTCGTCAACATATTCGTTTTTTATAATGGTTAGCACCTAGGGCGTGAAACATCCTTATGAACAAGTTGTTCGTCGCCCAATTGTTGGAAATATATTTGCAAGGTTTCTATTATATGCTACACTATTCGAAGTGTACTAATTAAAGCTCGCCATATCGAGGGTGTTAGCCCTGGTGGCGAGCTACAGGGGCGCAATCGCGCACAGTGGTTGCGACCCTCGTGGCAGCTGAAGAGTCGTATTCACCAGTGGCAGCGTGTATTGTATGTGGAACTGCCCTACAGGGCGCGGCCGAATACCGCGCCCTTGCCGAGGTTGAACAGTCGCGCCAGCGCAATTGTAACAAGGCAGCCCAAGCGAAGCACCGCAACGGTTATGCAGTTGCACTATAGTAACTGCCAGCCTTATGTGTTTGCTATATAACCCAATGTATCGCATCTCTATTATTACACATATTCTCAAGCTTGTGTCCGGCTAACCCTCAGCCTGGGATGGCACCATGTTACTAGCCAAGAAGAGCTACCACTGAGTGACCATTTCCCCGCTTCATGGTTGTCGTAAAACCTTTTTTAGAGGCTTCCAATGCACTCTAGCGAGTTATTCTAACATGGTATGAGAGCTAGTTTGGACTATAAGTTCTGCCAATAGCAAGTTCTCTAAACTATATCTTCCTTATAAATATATGGCGATACAAGCATACATCATGCCAAGCGCTGACTGCGGAGAAACTAGAGAAAATCGAGTTCATCAGCCATCCAATGTCACCTTAGGAGTCACATCAATTGACCCTGCTCTCATCGAGCAGCTCAACACCCGCATCAGCGCCTTGGAGAGCCATCATCAACCGATGAGCGTTGACTGCTCCAGCTACGCCAGAAGACCCCCAGATCGTCCTGGGCCACACTCTGAGAGATGGTTCTGTCGAAGAGAAAGTTGATGCCCTTGCTTGGGCGCAGCTGATCACGATGTCGACGAGGAGTTCTCGATGAAGTTATCGTCCAGTGAGGGAGGAGAGTGGGCGGCAAGAGGCCAGCCCTTGCAGCACTGACAGCGACGCTGGCACCATAGCTTCGGAGGCGACCGACGCTGTGCCGGACCTGCCGTTCAGGCTCGGGAAGCGGTTCTACAACATTGATTCGATGCTGACCATGCGCGAGCCTGCAAGTGCCTCGGGAACCGGTGGGGTTGGGGCTGGAGGGAAGTTGTTTTCAGGGTATTTGGATAGGAAGGGACGTGGCAGGACCCTCATTGATGGTGCAGTGGTGGGGGCAGTGGGGGCAGCGGGGGCAAGAGGGGCAGCGGGAGCGGTGGGGGCAGCGGGAGTGGTGGGGGCAGTGGGGGCAGTGGGCCGGGGGACGTCGGTGGGGGTAATGGGGGCGATGGGGGTGGGGGAGAAGGGCTCATGGAGAAGAGAAGGGGAAGGAGAAGGGAGTGAGGGTGAGGGGAGTGGGTGTGGCAGGAGTGATAGTGGGGAGAGGAGCGATGTTATTTCAGCAGAGGGAGGAGTGGGAGGAGTGGGAGGAGGAGGGGGAGGAGGAGCAGGCATAGGGGAAGGGCATGAGGTAGATTGTGGCTCAGGCAGCCATGAGATTGACTGTGGACATGTTGTGTGTGCGGGAAATGCTGATAATGATGCTGGTGATGCTGCTGCTGCTGATGCCGATGCTGCTACTGATACTGTGGCTACTGATGCTGCTGGTGCTGATGTTTCTGCCGCTGCCGCTGCTGCTGATGCTGATAATGCTGACACTGATGCTTATGCTGCTGCTGCTACTAATGCTGCTGCTAATGCTGATACAGATGCTGCCGACGCCTCTGATTTTCATGTTTCTGCTGCTGCTTCTGCTTCTGATGATACTGATGTCGATGCTGCTGCTGATGATGATGGTGCTGCTCATGTTGATGCTGCTGTGCCTGATGACGCTGCTAGGCCTGATGACGCTGCTGGGCCTGATGACGCTGCTGGGCCTGATGACGCTGCTGGGCCTGATGACGCTGCTGGGCCTGATGACGCTGCTGGGCCTGATGACGCTGCTGGGCCTGATGACGCTGCTGGGCCTGATGACGCTGCTGGGCCTGATGACGCTGCTGGGCCTGATGACGCTGCTGGGCCTGATGACGCTGCTGGGCCTGATGACGCTGCTGGGCCTGATGACGCTGCTGGGCCTGATGACGCTGTTGGGCCTGATGACGCTGCTGGGCCTGATGACGCTGCTGGGCCTGATGGATGTTTGTTTGGAGTGCATGTGGAGGGATGCAATACGCAGTCAGCACCGGCAGAAGAAGAAGCAGCAGCAGCAGCAGCAGCAGCAGCAGCAGCAGCAGCAGCAACAGCAGCAGCAGATGGTGACAATAACGTTGATGACAGCAATGACGAGGGTGACAATAACGAGGGTGAGGGTGACAAAAATGAGGGTGACAAAAATGAGGGTGACAAAATCGGGGGTGACAATCGCGATTGTGACACCAAAAAGGATGGCAGCATCCAGGGTGACAATAGTGAACGCGAGAGTATGTTAGGTTCGGAGAATCTGGACCTTCTGCAGTTTGACGAGATCTCCCGAGCCAAGCAGGCTCGGCGGCAGTGCCATGCCGGCCGCCGTGGGTGCAGCTTTGGACGCTCGGGATGACCTGGCAGACGCCGAGGTTGCACTGGAGGAAGCTTCCAAGGAAGTTGCACAGCTCACGGCATGTACTGACACCGAGAATAAAAGCACCCTGCGTCGAGGGTCGGCTGCGCGCCACCCCTCACTCCTCCTCCCTTCGTCCGACCACCGAGCCTTTTGAGACGCTCCACTTGGACGTCTGGGGCCCCGCCCCTCGCCTTGGCCCTGAGCGCGAGCGTTTCTTTTTGGTGGTTGTTGACGACTACTCCCGCTACACCACAGTGTTCCCCCTGGCGAAGAAGTCTGAGGTGACTTCTACGCTGATCAGGTGGTTGCTTACCACTGAGGGCACTCATGGTCGTCGTGTCAGCTGTCTTCACTCTGACCATGGGGGTGAGTTTCGCTCCGGCATTCTCGCTGGATTCTGTCGCGAGCAGGGCATTCGTCAGTCCTGGACGCTTCCAGAGTCCCCACAGCAGAATGGGGTTGCTCTGGAGGGGCTTACAAGGGGGGAAGGGTTTACTGGTAACCAGGCAGGCATTACGGTAACCGTTGACGGGGAAGATGAGGGGAGCAGTATGGGAAGCAAGGGTCCTGAAGTCAAAGGAGAGGGGAAAAGGAAGATGGGGGATGGGGAGGAGGGAGTGACTGAAGGAGAGGAGGATAATGCTGGAGGGGAGGAGTTGGGGGGGAGTATTGTAGCGAAAGCTGACGAAGCGGGCAGTGGGGAGTCTACAAAGGATGTGAATCTGTCTTCTGCCCGTTCTTCTGCCCTAGCTGCCCTGGAACTAGCTCAGCTTGCCCGCAACGAAGCCGCTGCCCGAATGCGGAACCAGCGGCGCCGGGCAGCTGCGAAAGTTTCGGAGCTGGAAGCTGCCCGGTCCCTCTACACCACGCTGCTTAGGGCAAAAGAAAAACGGGTCGCTGAAATAAACAGTGCTGCTTATGGGTTGATTGGGGACATGAAGGCAGCAACTGGGTGTGTAACACCGGGTGTGGTAACCCCACGAGGGGGGTCTGCTGCTAGTAGCGAATTGCCAGATGTGCAACACTGCACATATGGTGTAGAGGTTGACTATAATGAAGAGGGCTACTAGTGGAAGAAAGTGCGTAGGGTATGGGATAATGGTAGATAGTAGACACACTTATTTCATCTGAAAAAGCAACTCAGATTTGTTGCAATACTTTTGAAACTACAGCTACAGTCGGGCGTTTTCTTTGTCTGACACAAGCAAAACTAACAGAGTAAGAACCATCGAGTAAAAAGGCTACCGTAGGTTGGCCTGCTACACTGAACTGCAAATAATCGCCCGATTTACATTTAAGATAAAGTCCTCATGAGACGTCTAAAAAATCATCGAACCGTTGCCCAAACACCAGTCAATCATCTATACCAACATCTTTGTAAATCTTCAGGAAGGTTGATCGAGCCTATGATCACCTCAGGAAGGTTCGCAGAGAGTGTGTTGCAGCGGAAGTATTGACCTCAGGCCAGAGTGAAAATAAATTTGACTGAGATGATTAAAACAAAGGCATACATATGTTTATATAATAGTACAAGGGAAAACGAAACGACCTAGACTAGTCATGTACTCTAAGGGGTACATTCCCTCATTGTAGCGAAATCCAACCATGCGACTCCAGACGGTTACGGACCTGTTCCCGCCTAAATCCTCTCTCCTGCAGCTGCTCGACGGTCCAGATGCTGCCAACCGTACGCGACTCTTCGCGTCATTCCGACCTTTCGCCTTCGTGCTCTTCATTGTGTTCTTTGCTTGCTACTGATAAGAGTGCACAATACTGTTGAGAGGAGCCCTGCATGTGCATGGGCGAAATCTGGAGCTTCTGCGCAGGCCGGGCCAAGAACCTCGTGCATAAGGAGCAAGGTTGCCTGTACAAGGGGTGTACCGGGGAACCCGTGCACGAGCAACTGTAGCATCCGCAGGTGCAGCGGAAACATCTCCTGCACAGGTGCAGGGGGCGCAGCTGGTGCAGAGGTTCGCGAAAGTTCATCCGCGCAGGGTCGCGTCCGACCCTGCGCACCCTCGCGAATGTACAATTGAATTGCGGCGAGAGATTCAATGTGCGCGAATTTCGACCAATGAGGGCTCACGGAATTTCGACCAATCAAGTCTTGTACCCGCCAGGAGAAATTGAACCAGCAATGGAAAGAGAACCTGCTACACGTTTTTGTAACCACAAAAACGTGCACACCTATGCATGGTGTACAACCTGTGCAACTACTTAGTTCGGTGAAAAATACATGGGCTTGTTTTTTTACCTGCCATTGTTGCGTTGGCAAGGCACATGCTTGGCAGTTAGTTAAACGTTCCTCTTGGAACGTTTCTGCAGGGTTCCTTTGATCTAGTATATTGGTTCAAATTTTTCTTGTACTCTACTTGTTCAACTCCTTTGCTTAGTGAAACCTATGCTTGGATTCTACTAAGTCAACAACAACTCTGTTAAGAGCAACAGCCTGAATTCTACCCTTCGCGCCATCACGCAATTCTGATCTTCCCCGTAGGTTAGAATTTTCCGCATGGTGCGGTGAGCGTGGATCGAACACGCGACCTTCAGATAGAAGCCGACGTTTGCACTTACCTAAGTCGTTGTTAGGCCGGCAGCGTGTGCATACCATGACGCCTACCCCGGCAGAGGCCGTCACGGTAGAGGATACGCTGGAGGCACGGATAGCTGACGCTAGGAGGCGCCACACGGATGGCGAGTTCGGGACGGTCCCCTTGGAGGTGCTCGTGTGCAGTGGGCGCACGGGCATCCTTCCCGACCTGGTGCGGATGGTGCGTCCGCCTCTCCTCGACCGATACACAACGAAGGTGGCGTCGACGACGAGGTCGACAGCGGTGACCAAGTCGGCAGCGACGAGGGCTCGCGGATGACGCGAGGAGTGATCAGGGAAGCCGACGACGAAGTCGGCGGAATGCGGGCGCGAGGGATGCGGTCGACGGCGGCTGCAGGCAGCTCGCACGGCGACATCGGCGGACGACGTCGCTCTCCCCAACCAAGTGGAGTCGGGCCGTCGTCGGCGACCCACGTGACCGCTGGTGGGATTGCACCGGCGTACGGGTACTTCAAGTTCTCGCCGGACAAGATCGTCGTGCTCGTGCTGCTGGAAGGTAGGCGCGACCTTATCATGTGGAGGGAGTCGATCGAGCCCCAGATAGAGATCGCCGGGTTGAAGTGCTTCGCCGACGGCGACGTGGTGACGCCGCACGAGATCGACGTCGAGGTGCGGGCGGAATTTCGTGCCGCACACCTGCAGACCTTCATGGTCATTTCGCGGTGCTGTTCGCCGATGGTGCAGATTGCTCTGAAGCCGTGCCGACTTCGACTGGACGCCAGCCACCAGTCGTGGCGGTTCATCCTGTCGACGTACCAGGCGACCGACGACTTGTAAATCGGCCAGCTGGAGGAGAAGCTGACTCACCTCAGGATGGGCGAGCAGGAGTCGGCGACGGACTACTGCAATCGCGCTCGACGGGTCCTGGCCGACATGCGGATGGCGGGCGTCGACTACACGACGGCGTCCTACATCACACACGTCGTCAAGGGTCTCCCGAGTGGCTACAACCTCATGCGCCGGATGATGGCGATGCCCGGCGTACGTGAGGCCCTCAACGAGGATACCTTGACTAGCCACATCATCAAGGATGAGGCTATGCAGGAGGCTGAGCGGCCCACTAAGCTCCTTCCGCAGGCGAACTACATCGCCCTGACGAAGCAGGATCGTCTGTAGGGGCAGCGGAGGAAGTCTGGCGGAGGTAGTAGCGGAGGTGGGAGGTCGGCGAAGGACGCTGACCGGACGAAATCAACTCAGGACAGTGGTCGTGGCAGCGGTGGTCGACGGCGCGAGTGCTGGGTCTGCGGAAGCGCCGACCACCTTTCCTATGACTGCCCCGACCAAGAGGAGTGTGACGACGATGATCACAAGCTGGCCGCGGGAGGTCGGCCAACGGTCGTCGAAGTCGGGACGAAAAGCCGCGCAAGGAGAAGCAGGCGTCGAATAAGGCGTCGTCGACGAAGGACGTCGACTCCTCTAGCGGCAAGGGTCGAGGCGACGGGGAGGCGTCGTGCTCGATGGTCGGCATGGTGGAGCCGACGCTCTCACTGGCGCCGGAGGCTGGCGAGGAATTCACGGCGGTCGCGGCCACCGTGTAGGCAAACCCGACGGTGGTTCTGCTCGACAGCGGCTGCCCGCACCACCTGATGGGGACGAAGGAGGCCTTCGTCGACATGGCGCCGAGTGGCGACGAAAATGTTGAAATATATTTTTCTTATATAAACTGCTTGTAGCAGTAGTTAGTGTAGTGTTACATTGTTTGGTGGTGCACCTTGCTTGCTTTGCCTATATCCTTGTACCTTCTCTCTTTATTGCACACTTTTTCTCCTTTGCAACTCTCTCGACATTCCTCTTGAACCCTAAACCTAAGCTACTAAGCTACCATAGCCATGGCTACTAAGCCTAACTAGCCTTAGGACTTTGACATGGTTTCAGAGCATTTACGCTCCTGGCCTGTGGGCCCCCACTTGCTTCCGCTGCCTGTCGTCCTATTGCGCGCCTCGGGCGCGCGGGCGCGCGGCGATTTTCTGCCCGCCGTGTGCTCGGGGCACACGGCGGTTTTCTGCCCGCCGTGCGCCCCGGGCGCGCGGCGGCTCTCTGCCCCACGTCAGCGCGCGGGCTTCCTGCCCGTTGCGCTGCCCTGCAGGCCGCGCGCGGGCCTGTTCTGCCCGTCGCGCTGCCCTGTGGGCCGCGCGCGGGCCTGCCCTGCACCCGCGACGCCGCCCCTGGACCCCGCGAAGCCGCCCCATGGAGCCCGCCCGCGCCCTGCCTCACCTGCGCATGCCCTCGTGCAGCCGCCCCTGCATCACCCGCGCCTGCCCTCGTGCAGCCGCCCCTGCCTCACCCGCGCCTGCCCTCGTGCAGCCGCCCCTGCATCACCCGCGCCTGCCCTCGGTCAGCCGCCCTGCCTCACCTGCGCCTGCCCTCGTGCAGCCGCCCCTGCATC